AATTTATAAATAAATTTTTTATTTTATAATTTATATTATATATTTAATTGTAAAATAAAAAATTTTAAATAAAAAAATTTAATATTAAGAGTTTTTCTTAATTATTATTTTATAATTTAATACAATTTAAGTTATCAAATAATTTTTTATTTATAAATCTAATCACTTACCTTTGTTTTAAGGGAAATGATTCATGCACCTATCGGTTCAACAGTTGACGATACACACTTCATAAATTGAATATATTGTAAAAATAAAATTATAAATTTACTCTTAAACAGTGGCGGAGCCGGGGGTGCGAGAGGGGGCGCTCGCCCCCCTGAAATTTGAAAATCTTGTAAATTAATATATGAAAAATTATCTAGCCTCCCCTGAAGTTTGAAAATTTTAATATTTTGCTCCCCTTGAAAAAAACTTCTGCCTCCGCCCCTGCTCTTAAAGCTATCTTTTTCCTCACAACACCCCTTTTTCTTTCTATCTCTCCGTCTCCCTCTTCAACAATTTAACACCAGTTTCTCAACTTTCTTCCCCTTCCCTCTCTTCTTCCCTCTACATACTGAAATGAACAAGTTCTTTAAACTTGGGTTCAAATTGACCCTAGATCTAAGTTTAAATTGAAGCCAAATCTAGGTTCAATACCTAGGTTCTTCAAGAACCTAGCACCAAATAAGAGGGATAACAGTCCACAAACTGACAAAGAAAATGGGACCACAAAAAAAATAGATCACCAAAAATGAGCTATTGTTCTTGGCACATAATCAAAACATATAAAGCTCCAAATAAAAACTTATCATTCAGAACGTAGATCAATGTCTCTTAAATATCCAAACAAAATTTTAGCTCGATCCAAAAGTAAACTTTTGCAAATTGAACAAAGTAACAAAGTTGCACACAGTACCAAAACTGCATAAATTTTCCCTATTTTCTTTTCCCTTTTCTGCTAATTGGCTCCACTCACATACACTCCACTTTCAACTATATCATCTCAAAAATAGATCTGTTTTATGTGTCTAATGGGCTATAAAATCATGGGCTAAATCAAGGATGATTTTCAGAAAAAATGAACTCTTCCTAAAGATTTGGTGTTGTTGTCATTTAGGAAACTTACTCAAGATTCTAATTTGGTGCTTGAATGCT